ATGTGGCCAATGACTCAAGTCTGGATCTCTGGCCCTAATCACTCTAAAAAGAAAATTCCAAACTCAGATATTCAAATGTTCTACTCAACGGTTCTCCATGGATGTCTGACAGGCATCGCAAACTCAAGATGTCATGGCCAAGATAGAACTCTTGACTTTCAGCCTCCAAATTTACTCACTCCTAATTATTGCACTATCATCCGCTGAGAAAAAAAATCTAGGTATTATCTTCAATTCCTAGATTTCTTTTATCCTTACATCTGTTGACTTTACCTTCAAAACAGTACAAATTAGTTCCCTTCTCTCCATCTCTATCATCCCAATTCAAGACAGCATCATCTCTTGATTGCATTGCTGGAATTCCCTAATTCTTGCTTCCCTCTTGCCCTTCTATAATCTATATCCTGTAGCAGCCAGTGACTACCAGTAAAACAATCCTATGGCATCCCACCTAGAGTGAAAGTCAAGCTTCTTATTCCCTTAAAAGTAAGCCCTTTCAGCTACCCAGCACCTGCCTATCTCACCCATCTATTCGCTCATACTTTTTTCCCCTCACCCACTCCCATGAGGCCCTTGCTTGGGATCCTCCCAGAGCTGGCTTTCTTGTCCTTAAATATTGCAACTTAAATTTCACTTTCTTAGAAACTTTCCCCGGAGAAGGCAATGGCACCCCACTCCAGTACTCTTGCCTGGAAAATCCCATGGACGGAGGAGCCTGGTGGGTTGCGGGGTCCATGGGGTCGCTAAGAGTTGGACACGACTGAGCGACTTAGCAGCAGCAGAAACCTTCCCTGATACCATAGTACAAAAGACTCCTAGCATTTACCCTCTCTTAGAACTTACTACTATTAGATATTTTTCTTATTTCTGGTCTCTGCCCCATTAGGAAGTAAACTCAGTGAGAACAGGGATCTTGTCTATTCTGTTCCCCACAATATCCCTGTGTCTTGAGCATAACTTGGCACATAGTACCCAGTGGAAGGATACTGAGTGAACAAGTATGTAAAGACATAGAAAGATATTTACCCAAAGACTGCTTGAATAGCAATACAAGTATAGCCAAAAGAAAAAAAAAATTGGAAATGACTTAAAAGCTAGAGGATTCCTTTTAGTATATCCATACAGTGGGTAGAGCCATTTAAGATAATGAGGTCAATCTATAAGTGCTGATAAGGAAACAATATCCAAGATGTGTTTGTAGTGTGGTATCCAGCCTCCAATTCGGCCTCCAGTGATCCTTGCGTGCTGGTATTTATGCCTTTACGTAGTCTGTAGTCTCCTCCCAAGTGAACTGAAGCTATCTGATACATAACATGACCCATAGAGTAAGGTGGAGACGACGGCAGATGACGCTGGAGGCCAGGCTCCAACAGGCAGTGCAACGCCTCCGTTTTCTCTGGATCGCTCATTTCGGGGAAAGGCAACCTTCAGGTTACGATGTCAGTTGAGCAGGACTGTGGACAAGCCCTTGCAGGGAGGAGCCAGGAATCCTGCCCGCAGCCAGCACCAGCACGCCAGGCCTGTGAGGAAGCCACACGGGAAAGGGGGTCCTCCAGTTCCAGCCAAGCCTTCAGGGGGCTGCAGCCTCCCGAGACCCCGTGCCAGAACCACCTGCCTCAACGGCTCCCAGGTGGTGACTCACAGAAACCGCGCGGGTCAGTGAATGTTGGCTGTTATTTTAAACCACTAAGTTTTTGAGGAAATTGATTATGCATAAAAGATATAGGTAGTATAAACTCCTCTTTTACTATTAAAACAAAAAAGCATATGGGCGCTTACATTTATTCATGCATAGAAAACACCTCCAAAGAGGCCACGCTCTGACCTGGGTGGGTAGGGAGGGACTATGTCCACTTTTCAGTATGCACTCCGATATTCTCAGATTTATTTACAACAACCACTATTACTTTTATAATTTTTTTCTTTTTAAGGTTTAAGCATCACAATATTAAGAGAGAAGCCATAGTAATGGCCGTTCCTAAGCCTTCTTGTCCTTCTGTTCTCCTTGATTTTCTCCCACTCTCAGGACCTGGCTTTAGAATAGTCTCTTCTTCACAGGTTTTCCAGTAACACAAACACTGGGTTTTGGTTTTTGGTTTTAAGATGACTAATTTCACTGAGAACATTAATCCTACAATTAGAATGCTGCTAAAATTGGGATCCTGGTTTAATCATCTGCATTTAATAAGGCAACAGTGTTGCAGTAAGCGTGGGATGCAAAGCTGGTGCTCGGTGACAACCTGGAGGGGTGGAAAGGGAGGGAGGAGAGACTCAAGGATACCTGTGGCTGATTCACACTGACGTCTGGCAGAAGCCACCACAATATTTAAAGTAATAATCCTCTAATTAAAAACAAATAAAGGAAAAGAAGAAAAAAGTCGCGAGGTGAATGTATGAGCCACTCACACTTTCGGGGTGCTGATGAGTTAACCAGAGTTCACGGAGCCCACAGGCTCGGGCTGCAGTTTCTGCAGGAGGTGGTGAACCGTGGCTGGTCACGCCTCGCTCCTCATCAGTAGAGACAGACACCGGGAAATGCTCCACAGGCTGACTAACAGGTAGAGGCCAAGGCAGCTCACACTCTCCCTCAATAAGGCCATTTCCAGAGTGTGACCTGAGGGACCCCAGTGACTTACATTTAAACAGACCAACTATCTCAGTGACTTTCCAAGGCTTGGGTAAAATGGAGGACCGAGCCCCGAGTTTGGTTTTCCCTCTTCAGAATGAGCAGTGGGGGTGGACTAAACACATGCCTTTGACTAGTGTAACATCAGAAACTTCGCTTTTTAAGACAACAACCAAACTCTGCGGCCCAGACCCACGGTTTTAATTGATGAGACCAGGGAACAGTGTAGCAAACTGTACCTTTGATTCGGTGATAAATTCCAGTCCTCTTAAGCATCTCCAAAGGAGAAAAGTTACAGGAACAAAGTTGCAATCCCTAAACTATGCATACTGATGAGATTATAGCCCCAGGATTGAGGAAGTCTTGGTAACAGGGAAATTAATTACCTCTGAAACTCCTGCTGCAAACAACTGAAATGACAAAAAGAGAAATGCCCAAACAACTTCAGTTTAGCGTGTGTCCTGCACAATGGGACACAAATCCACGTTCGCTTTCAAATTCAGAGAGCCCTCCTTTAGTCACTAGAGCCAGTGCAGTGCAACATTCAAGCTGTCAGATAGTTTAGAAAAAGCAGAGCCCAGCAAGATAGGGAACAGAGGGAAGACAGGCACGCCCAGGGCCCTCCTGAGCCCAGGGCCAGAGTCCCTCAGCTGGCCTGCCCCGCCCCGCCACTGGCTGGGCCGGATTCAGGCAGAGCAGGGCCTCAAAGGGAAAAGAAACAAACTCCGCTGGAGGAGCATTTGATTCAGCAAACAGACACTCTTATGATTCTATTTCCCAGATCATTTCTTGTACCCTTCCTTCATGTAGATTCACAGATTTGGTGAAAATGAACCAAGAAGAAGCCTTCGTCCTTAGGGTAGGGATTAAATTATGATCACTCAGGTATGGAATACAACCTAGTCACTGAACAAGAGGAGGAAGATCCATGTGAATTAATTTAGAAGTTGGCATATACATGTACGTATATGTGTTTACATACACAAACACATTCATTCTTAGAGTATAACATACAAAGTACATACATTTTCTATAAACAATTGTAAAAATTAGTTCCCTTTGTGAGATAAGAATGGACATGAGTGGCAAAGAAGTACATTTTTCATTTTATATATTTTTATTGCTTGATTTTTTTTTTTTATTATCAGCATGTATTATAAAAATGACTAACAAAGAAATAGCAAAGACCAAAAAAATGCTTTCCACTGGATCAGCCTGTGAGCCGTTTGTTTCTGCTCGCTTTTACCCTGGGTAGGCCATCTTTTGCTTTCTCACCTGTAAATGGAAGCAAGCCGACCAGGAGGAAGCCTGCTATGAGACGGAGGGCTGAGCCGGCAAGGAATGCAGGGTGTATCTGGCCAAGAAGCGGAAGGCGGCAGACCAGAAATGAGATCACATCAGTCGTCAGAGACAAACAGTAATAATGCTACACTAAACTTATCAGGACATGCCAAACATTTCATCCTAATCTGCATTTTACAAACAAGAAACTGAGGCACAGAGAAGCATCTTCCTCAGGAAACCAAAACAAAGACATGACGGAGTCAGAATTCAGCCTTGCCTGGCGGGAGCCCTGCTGCCTCAGTACGAACTAATGCAACAGATGTTTTCCAAACATTTCAAAACACTGATGGATGAGCATTTCTGGAAATAAGTGCAAACACACTTTTTGGTAAAAGTATATGTTACTGAAGGCCATTTGGCAAGTGTTACCAAAATTTAAAATGAGCACCCAACTTTTGACCTGGCCATTCTACTTTCTGGAACTCATCCTACAATGAAAGTGAAAGTCGGTCAGTCGTATCCGACTCTGCAACACCACGGACTATACAGTCCATGGAATTCTCCAGGCCAGAATACTGAAGTGGTAGCTGTTCCCTTCTCCAGGGGATCTTCCCAACCCAGGGATCAAACCCAGGTCTCCCGCATTGCAGGCAGATTCTTTACCTGCTGAGCCATCAAGGAAGCCCCCATCCTACAGAAATACTCCCAAAGACGCCTACATACGGAGGTTCAGTGTGGCACTGTTTTAACAAAGAAAAAAAGAGAGGGAGAGAGAAAACTCCAGGAGCCATAAGTATGGAAATGACCACATGACTAAAACCTCACAATATACCCAAAATATTAAGTAGCTTGTATCCTTTAAAAATGGAGGTCAATCCATAGATGCAGACATGTGAAGAATTCTAAAATGTAATTAAAAGAAAAATAATTATTACAGAGCAATGTGCACAATATGACCCTCTTTACATAAAAAATAAGATGTGAGAATCACTTTCATTTCTTCTTAGAAGAGTGATGCCTTTATTTCCCTACTCTTCGTTCCTTGAAAACAAAAATGAAAGCAAAAACCACACAATTCATAGAAAAGTAGTAAAAAATAAAAATTATGTGTTATTTATAAATCAATCATACAGTAAAATAATTATTTTAAAAGGTCACAAATACAACAGTTCTATAAAGTCAGCTTGGAGTCAAGTACCTTTTAAAATACATTGCAAATCATCTCTATTTTAGTGTTCTTTTCCAAACAGATGTGGTTCAAACTCAAGAGATGGCTTTATCATTTCATATTTGCTAAAAAGTCAACAAAACTGGCAATAAATAGTCCAATAATTTCTAAAAATACTAAGTGGTAAACACTATACTTAGTTATGAAAAAATCTACTATTCAGACAACCTGAAGATTTCACTGAAGTCAGTAAAGACACAAAATTAGCTTTTCCACATTTAAAATGCTCGTCGTATTTTCCTTGAAGTGACAACAATACATACAAAAGCTCAAAGCATTAATAAAGAAATGATTGGAAGTCCCAATGAGTCAATGAACAGACTTTGTTCTGAGCTGGACGGAAAAGGGACACAAAACGTTCTGTTTTGGTTCATTTTTCAAAAATTCCCATGGCTCCTTGTCAAGTGGAAGCAGTACCCAGACCAAAGGTTCCCAAACGCTGGAGTGTAAGAAAGACTTGTTAAAATGCAGGTTCCTGGGCCCTGCCCCAGACTCTGAGCTCTGATTCCTGAGTACGATAAATCTGCATTTTCAAACAAGATACACAATGATTTTGATGAAGTGGTACAAGAACCCCACCCTTCAAACTTGTTGCCGTTGGTTGGAAACCTGACTTGCGGCAGCTCCCCCACCTCTTTAGTTTCCCCATCTGTAGAGCCAGTCCACTGTACTGATCTTCTCTGAGGGCCCTGAAGCCCTGGATACAGGGCTGGATACAGCTGGATCAACCCCAGATGTAAAAGAAACGTAGCTGCAGCTAAAAACTTAAGCCTTCATGCCAAGACTAATCTTTGCATATCATGGGGCTTCTGTCTTTTCTGCACCGTCTGAAAAGTCTGCTTTGATCAGTTCCATTTCTGGGAGCCCCTGAGTAGAGGAATTCTGAAACTGACATTCCACGTGAATTGGGGGGACTTTCCTCATGCAAACAGGGAAGCTTCCAGCCACTCTGAGAGGTGCTGCATATACATGGTATGTGGTGAAACCTACTTGGTTAGGAAACAGCAGAAGCATCTCCGGAATGGTAAGCAGGCTCCAAAGCCTCCAGCAGAACTTCCACCGAGGAACCGGACCACTCAGTAGGAGCCTTTGACACTGGTTGAACTAGAAGAGTAAGAGCTGGATTTCCCCGAGAATTTCTTTGACGAGAGGGATACCTGCATCTGCTTTACAGTACGGACGCTCCGGCAGAGAAGAGCATTCTTGGCGTGATCCCTGAAGTCCTGTGAGATGAAGTAATAGACAAAGGGGTCGATGCAGCTGTTGAGGGTGGAGAGGCAGAGGGCGGCGATGTACAGGGCGTAGACGTGACTCTGGCCCCAGGTCTTGATCAGGAAGTAGTGCACTACGAGCAGGAGGTTACTGGGAGTGAAGCAGATCAGGTACATGGCCAGCACGGTCACAATGAGCTTGATGGCCCTCTGCCTCTTCTTTCCTGAGCTCTCATCCATGGCAGAAGACTGGAGGGTCCGGATCATGAGCACATAGGCCGAGGCCGTGAGGAAGGCTGGGAACAGGAAGACCCCGATGGCCAGAGAGAGGAAGTAATTGAACATGTCTCCCACCAGCACCTCCTCCGGCAAAACGTCGTGGCAGGTCGTGATGTTAAGGGCCGGGATGTAGGCGGTCTGCTTCACGACGTACAAGGGGATGGAAAGCAGCAGAATGAGCAGCCATATTCCCAGGGAGACGCCGATGGCAATGTTTGCCTGCTTCTTGGGGTGCACCATGGGGTTCACGATGACCCAGTATCTCTGCACGCTGAGGCAGGTCATGAAGAGGATGGAGCAGTACATGTTGCCGTAGAAGAAGCCAATGAGCACTTTGCAAAGAGACTCCCCGTAAGTCCAGTTGTTGCCATGGATGTGATACGCGATCTTCAGGGGGAACCAGGTAACCGAGAGGAGGTCGGCCAAGGCCAAGTTGGCCATGTAAATCACAGCGGGGTGCTTCTTCTTTGTTCGGAAAAGAAAGACCCACAGGGCCATGCCATTGCTTGGCAAACCAACCACGAATACGATCGTGTAGACAACTGGAAGGAAGACAGTGGTCAGCTTTCCAGTGAGGACGGAGGTAGAAAACTCATCCACGGAGAAGCCTGGTTTCACCGTCACGCCTCTGCCAGTGACCACAGGTGAGTTATCCATGCTGCCGATGAGGCTCCTTCCTTTAGACGGTCTCTTGTCTCCTGCACAAGAAAGGCAAAGCGGACAAGGGTCATTACAGCAATCAGTTTCCACAGAGATGCCGGTTTGTCCAAACACAAGCGCTTCAGAGAAAGAACGGCTGGTGGGAAGGTCATGGGCAAGATGGTGCCAGCACGTCAGTTATCACCTGAAAGCTCGGGCAGAGGAGGAAAGGAGGACAGCAGCTGAGAAGAAAAAGCAGCAGTGAAACAGACTGCGCAAGAACGGGCGGAAGCCCGAGAGGACCGTGTGCTGGCGAGCCTGCCTTTCTCCAGGGCGGGGTAGATGAAGAAAGCTCCCCGCGCTGTGTGAAGGCAGAGAAAGAAGGCGGGCAGGAGGAGGGCGCACACAGTGCTTCCGGGGCTTGTGATGGGTGGTGGGATCACTGGGATCTCTGTGGTCTGGACTCGTGTGCCTGCTGTGCTATTTTTGTTGTCGTTTTTTTTTTTTAATCCTAATTTTCTATTTTTCAAGTCTTTGTGGAATTTGTTATAATACTGCTTCTATTTTATGTTTTGGATTTTTGGCCATGTGGCACGTGGGACCTTCGCTCCCTGACCAGCGATTGAAGCTGCACCCCCTGCACTGAAAGATGAAATCTGAACTTGTGGACCACTCGAGAAGTCCCCCTGCTGTGTGTGTGTGTGTGTATGTGGTGTGTTTACTTTTACAATGGGTATTTTTTTTAATGGGAGGGTTCTGAAGTATGTGTACAACATAACAATGATTTCTATGAATCCTGGAAAAATTGACAGTATATCATTTAGTTTTACAAACTGTCCACACTCATTAGTCTCCAACTGTTCTCATAATGGCCATCTACCTCATTTGTACTGCAAGACAACTCAGCCTGGCCCATCACTCCTTAGCCCAAACAAAGGCCAACACAGCGAGGTTCCCAGGAGCTCAGAGACACTGCCTCTCTAGATACAAGGACAGCCCAGCCAGAGCAGGGACCTCCCGCTTCACTCGGGCTTCCTGGAGACCTGCCCATGCGGAAGAGCGGGCAGCAAGCCTGCTGACCTCAAGGTCACCGGGCAGCTGGGTGCACGATTTCTGTTCAGACAAATTTGTATTCTGACATTTAAGCAAGTAATATGCTAAGCTTTAACAACTTCCACTCTCATCCCCAAATTATGAATTAAACTTTAGAAATAAAGAATGAATGGCATAGCCAGCCTACATCCTGCCCCAACCAAGTATTCATCGACCTGCAGAACAACGTGAGGGACAGTGTAAGGACATAGAAGGACCTGACTTTAATTCTGGGGAAGAGCAGCCCTTCACCAAGGCATGTTCATACCAGGAAGGATGTTCAACCTACTCACAAGCTTATCTGATCATCTGTATGTGTTGTCATCATTTTTTCCTCTTCTACCTAAGACACGGCTGGTGGGAAGGCAAAGTGGTACAGTCACTGTGCAAAACCATCTGGCAGTTCCTCAAACGGCTCACCACAGAAGTGCCATACAACCCAGGGATTCCTACTCCTAACTACACCCAGGGCACAGGAAAACACAGAAAACTGTACAGCAATGCTCAGGACAGCAGCACTCATTAGAGCCCCAAAGGAGAAATAACCCAGACGTCTATCACCTGGTGAATGGGTAAACAAAATGTGATCTGTGCCTACAACGGAACATGATTTAGCAATAAAAGGAAACGAAGTACTGATACATGCTACAGGTGAAGCTTGAAAAGATTATGCTTTTGAAAGAAGCCTCAGGAGTATGTATTGTAGGAGTCCATTTATAATAAATGTTCTGAATAGGCAAATCCACAGACAAAAAAAAACACATTAGTGGTTGCCAGGAGCTGGGGAATGGGGCAGATTGGGGGATGATGGCTAAGGAATAGGCTGGAGTGTTCTTATAGGGTAAAAAATATTCTAAAGTTGATTGTGGTGATGGATAGATTATCTGTGAATAGTCTAAAAGGCATTGAATTGCAGACTTTGAATAGGTGAACTGTATGGTTTGCAAGTTACACCTTTATAAACCTGTTAAAGAATGACACCTGATGGAAGGCTGAGGTGTCATTACTAAAGCTGACTGAGGGGTACCAGGGATTCACTGGAACATTCTACCCTCATGTGTCTAGAATTTTCCATAAAAACAAACATACACCAGGTCACAAAAGTTCATGCAAAGAGATAAAAATCTATTTTATATTAGGATACTAAAATAAAGGGGGGTGGGGAAGGAGCCAGAAATACTACAAAAAGGTAGGGAAGGATTCAAAGAGTGAGAAAGAAAGATTTCCTGAGAATATTCGCACCTAGAACCCTGACTGATTGCACTCTAGACTACCATTCGTATTAGCTGTGTTCATCGAACCAGTGGCAGAGCACACAGCCAGCATGCCACTCGGTATGACTGAGCAACGCCAGAACTGCTCACACCAACACTGCTGAACGTCGAGCTGCTGCCCGAAGTTCCCTGAGGCCCTTCCAGCACAGGGCATGGGCTTCCACCTCAGATCGTGTCCTCAACTCACAGAACTTGTCTAGAACGGACGCCATCCCAGCTTCTAACTATATAACCCATCCGTAAACCAGACAACGTCATTTCTATTTTACAGGGTGAAGATACTTAATAAACACTGAAATGCAATGACAGTCACAATATAATGTCAACTGAAAAAAGCCACTGGTGGAATAATATGCTTCCATCTATATAACAAAATTATAATTTGTCAACAAATCTGAAGTCTAGGAAAACACCCACTACCCCATAAACTCTGGCCATCTCTAGAGTAACATGGGTGGTGGGGGGAGAACTTAACTTTTCTTACCTTTATACCCTTCTATGTCATTTCGATTGCTTTTTCAGAGGCGTGTAAACTGGTGTAATCTATTCGAAGGGCAATTTGGCAAAATATCAAAAATTTTAAGTGTGCTTGCCCTATGACCCACTGATTTACTGCTAGGAATTTGTTCTGCATGTATATTAGCTAAAGTGCACAAAAATAGTGTATGTACAAGAATATTTACTAGATATCCAAAAGTCTACAAGCAATAAATGCTGGAGAGGGTGTGGAGAAAAGGGAACCCTCTTACACTGTTGGTGGGAATGAAATCTAGTACAGCCACTATGGAGAACAGTGTGGAGATGCCTTAAAAAACTGGAAATAGAACTGCCATATGACCCAGCAATCCCACTTCTGGGCATACACACCAAGGAAACCAGATCTGAAAGAGACACGTGCACCCCAATGTTCATCGCAGCACTGTTTATAATAGCCAGGACATGGAAGCAACCCAGATGCCCATCAGCAGACGAATGGATGAGGAAGCTGTGGTACATATACACCATGGAATATTACTCAGCCATTAAAAAGAATTCATTTGAATCAGTTCTAATGAGATGGATGAAACTGGAGCCCATTATACAGAGCGAAGTAAGCCAGAAAGATAAAGACCATTACAGTATACTAACACATATATATGGAATTTAGAAAGATGGTAACGATAACCCTATATGCAAAACAGAAAAAGAGACTCAGATGTATAGAACAGACTTGTGGACTCTGGGAGAAGGCGAGGGTGGGATGTTTCAAGAGAACAGCATTGAAACATGTATATTATCTAGGGTGAAACAGATCACCAGCCCAGGTTGGGTGCATGAGACAAGTGCTCGGGCCTGGTGCACTGGGAAGACCCAGAGGGATCAGGTGGAGAGGGAGGTGGGAGGGGGGACCGGGATGGGGAATACATGTAAATCCATGGCTAATTCATTTCAGTGTATGACAAAAACCACTGCAATGTTGTAATTAGCCTCCAACTAATAAAAATAAATGGAAAAAAAAAATAAGTAAATGAAAAAAAAAAAAGAATATTTACTAGAATATCATTTACTATGGTAAAACAAAAACGATAGTTTCAATGTCCATCAAAAAACAAAAAAGGCGAGTTCAATAATTTATGGCATTTATACAATGAATAATGTTCCCCCTACAAAAGTATGGACAGATTTTCCTATATTGACCATGACTAGATCGCATAGATTAAAAAAAACTGTAGGATAGCATGTACAGTATGATTCTTCTACTGTTACACAATACATGTATTTCTGCATAAAGAAGTCTGTTGTGAGTGAAGAAGGAAGAGAACGGGGATGTTTCACTTTTAACCTTTTTGATTTGCACTTTTAACTTTAAAAACATTACCTGTTCTTTGTTATATTAAGCTTCCTCCCGTGGCCCACCCTCCCAACATAAGCAAGTATAGAGCAGCTACTTTATTTGTTTAAACTCTCCTCTTGTGTTCTTTCCCCTATTATCCTCCTCACCCCCAAATATTCTTTTGCTCTGAACTTTGGGAGCACAGATCAAAAAAGAAAAGCTTCCATTTCTTGGTACCCTCTCTAGGGACACTTTATAGTCAAATTTCTTGTGTTCTTTCAGGATGAACTGTTTCCCTCTCAACATTTGCCCAGCTAACAAAATCGTAAGAAAGTCAAACACACACTTCACTAAAACATCACCTATCAAAATTAATTAGTAACTACAAGGTCAGGCAGGTGACCAAACACAAATTTAAGGTCCCATCTTCATGTTTGTTGCAGTGTCCTCTCTTATTACAAAACATGGAAAGTAGCCCATGGGTCTATCAACAGAGGACCAGTTAAAAATTATTATACATCCACTGGTAACATTTTAGGTTCATTAAAAACGTTTTATATTTACTAACATGCTATTGATGTTTGGTCATTGATGTTTACTCACTACTGATGTTTACTTTTACTCATTGGAAAAGCCCCTGATGCTGGGAAAGACTGAAGGCAAAAGGAGAAGGGGGCAGCAGAGGATGAGACGGTTAGAAGCATCACCAACTCAATGGACATGAGTTGGGCAAACGCCAAGAAATATTGGAGGACAGAGGAGCCTGGCATGCTGCAGTCCATGGGGTCGCAAAGAGTCAGGCCTAGCTTAGCAACTGAGCAATGACAACTGACTGATGTTTACATAAACACATAGTTGTACAAAAATTATTTCTCTATTT